AATAACTTTTCTGAAGAAGCTGAGACTGACAGCAGTTTGGCTCCTAATGCAATATTTCAGTTTCTCTGACTGACAAGAAGCAGAGCCACAGAGCTTAAGGTTCCTGTAACAGCCACTCACAGAAGAGGCACCCAGGCTCCATTTGCTGCCCAGGACAGCAACGGCCAGATGGCTTTAACAGAACTTCTATTTATTTAATCACTCTCCTTTTGTCCAACCAAGACTATTTGGTTCTGCAAAGTAAGAGACACAATAAAAGAAGTCATCCTGTTCACAGTATGTAATGAATGCATGTAAAAGGGGTGTACCTCAGCTCTATTTAATGCTTTGCAAAACTCCCTTGTTGATGTTAGTCCTTAAGGTTCACTTCAGAGTAACTGGTTCATAGTGAATATTGCTAGAGTTGTAATGAGGATCTTGAAAGATTAGTCCAGGGGCATCACTCAGAACCAAAACAAACCATTAGGATTCAGATAATATTTCTTCTGTCATTGACTTGAAGCATGTAATAAGAGGATTACCTAACTATTGTTCCCACATTTTGGTCATCTCTGAAGAAAACGCCCACAAAATGCAAGACTGGAATCATCCTGTTTTAGAATCTGGACTCTACAAAGGTGAACTGCAGAGCAACGCAAAAGCTCTTCATTACTTTTGCACCCAATTTCTCATCTGGGTGATAGAAAGATCAACAAACCCAGGCCAGTGAGTGTGGACATTCCACTCTTGGGCAGTATTATCAGCAAACCTATATACTTTGAATAGGTAAATCTACCAAACTTGTGCAGTGGAATAAATTATTTTAAATACTAGTCAGAAATAAAAAATGGAAGAACAGAACTTTTCCATCAGGTAACATTTCCAGTATGGGACTTCTCAGCACTTAGATCATAAGCCAACAAACAGAGCTTGAACTCAAAATAATGGAAGCGCACTGAAGCTAAAGAGAGTACTTGAGAAACACCTAACACAACAGACAGACGAAGGTACTATCTTCCAAGTTCCTGTGATCTAGTAAACGTGTTTATATTCCTTACAGAGAAGTCTCAGAAAGTGACAATGTCTTCAGTGTTACTCTTTGAAAGGTACTAGTTTTCCTTACAAACAAGATCACTTTGTTTCCAATTAGGAAATAACTGGTCATTAAAAAAATAAACAACAAATTTTGAAAACAAGTAATTAATGCTAGCGAGACCAGCTTGCATAAACCTATTTTTAAATTTGGATTTTCGCAGGCAGAAATTTTCTGCACTTAAAGTTTCCATTGCTTTGGTTTTTAAGCTGGTTATTTTTCCTGAGTGAAAACTGGTGTATTTTTTTATCAAGTCACTAGTACTATATGCAAAGCCATATTTTAATTCAGAAAGTTGCATTATTTTACGAAAGCACAGACTTACAGTAGGGATTTATATTCAACATACTCAGAGCTTCCTGCTAAGAGACTGTTGTGTAAGAGAAGCAGTGGTAAAACAGAGGAGAGGAAAGAGCAAATAAAGAGAGCTCAGGAAGCTGCTGAAATTGCATCTCAATTTCAGGACTGAATATCAGAGTTGTGTTCATTACACGATGTTTCCAGTCACCCTTTCAGTGGCAAGGTGTCCTTGAGCTATTTGAACGAGGCAAAGAATGTGACAGGGGACTAACATCAACCCTATGTACCAGTGGAGGTGGTTTTATTCAGTGGTGACATTATACCGCTTCTAAACACGTACCACTCACTGCACAGACCCTGCAAGACAGAGGTAATAAACCTGAGGCAAGCACTTCTTAGCAGCATAAATACAGAGACATTTTCTGTATAGCTGGAGAGAGAATGAGCAAGTGTGAGAACATGAGAATGAGTACAGAAGGAAGAGTGACTGGGACCTTCCAGTATTCATTCTGGTTTGCTAACAGATTTGATTGATCAAATTACTGTTTCCTTATAAAGACTGCCATGCATATGCATTATTTTCTATCTGTATATTACATATTTCTATATATCTTTTCAGTATCTATAGAAGAGTTATAAGAAGAAAGAGAAAAGACTTTTTAGCAGGGTTTGTTGTGATAGGACAAAGGGAAATGATTTCAAACTAGAAGAGGGGAGATTTAGATTGAATATAAAGAAGACATTTTTTACAATAAGGGTGGTGAGGAACAGCTTGCCCAGAGAGATGGTGAATGCCCCATCCCTGGAGACACTCAAGGTTAGGCTGGACAGGGTTCTGAGCAATCTGATGTAGCTGTATGTTTCCCTGTTCATTGCAGGGGAGTTGGAGAAGGTGGCCTTTAAAGGTCCCTTCCAACTCTAAGGATTCTGTGACTGTACCTACAGAAGTACATTTGCCATATTCTGAAAAAATACTTCAGAAAACTATCCATAAAATGCATATGCATGTTTGTATCTTCTGAGAAGATGGTGATGGTATTCAAATTACATCTAGCTCTGAGGCAGACTGACACCTTTGGGGAAAAAAAGGCAGATTTCACCATGCTGCATGCACAGTGCACATAAAGCATCTTTAATGCAATGCTTCTACTCGCATCTGAGTGGAAGTGCTGGAGGAGTGCTCTTACCAAGTCCTCTTAATGATCTATTTTCCAGAATCATCTAACATCTGTTCCCTGATAGAAAGTCTCCTGATAAAATTTATCAAATGGTAGTTTCCATTATCTACAGTTTATTTCCCCTTTCCTCCTCCCAAATTTCCACTGAAGCCTGAGTGCACTTCATTTGTTTAATGCCTAACTTTGGGAATATACATTCAAAAAGGAAAAGCAGAGCCATGTTAAGAGGAAGATAAATTTCTTTTTGTTTGCCTTATTTTGGTTTTGGTTTGTGTTTTTAAATTGACTTTGTTTTAATTTTTAAATTTGTTTTTGTTTTCAAAGCTACAGAACAGTAAAAAAAGATGGAAGATGAACTCAATTTTCTCAACCTTATTCTGTTTAAGAAAAAAAAAACATTGAAAATATTTCATTTTGGATATATGTAAGAAAGGCAAATAAAGTATAAAAGTAAATAAAAAGTAAAAATAAGAAAAAATAAGAAGAGAAGGATAAAGTCCTTTTATCTATGAATCATTTTCTCCAGATACAGGCTCACTTCCCATCTCAGCATGAGAGTACAGTTCCTTATGTTAAATATTCCACTAAGAAATATTCCAGAATACTTTCCTCTCAATCTACTTTATTAATGTTATGTATTTGGAATAAATAACTACAGTTCAATGGAACTGGGGCTAGAACCAAGGTTTTCTACTTCTCTAATTAGTGTCCTAACTCTTCACCCTCCTAGGGTAAACTTCTTACTGTAGGTTTCATGAAGCTACCAATAGACATTCCTATAGTTTTTTTTTTTTTCCAGAAAAAAAAATATTCAGTACATTTATCCTAAATTCATGAATAGTTTTGATAGCAACATCCCACATCAAATGAGCTAATTTACTGCTTATTAAATAAAGTATCTGGTGATAGCCCTAACCACAATACTTAGCTACTTTAACATCACTTTGGAAGCAAGATGATCAGTTCAGAGCTGTTCTGCCTACAAATATTGAATTCTAAATTGAAAGAAAAGAACCAGCTCACCCCTTAATAAAAATTGTTACCAAATCCTTCAGTAACACCACAAATTAAAGAAAGAAAAATCCTATTAATAGCTTTCTGACTTCCAGCTACAGCTTTTAAAATGTGCTTATTTCAGCAGCTCTCTGGCTCCTTGGGGAGTACTGTGGGATTTAAATCACTTGAAAACTCTGCCTCACTCTGGATGGACTGAGGAATTGAACCACTCTATTTATGATTATTGAGGTCAGGTTAGTCTCTAGACAGTGCAATGAAAATAGATGATATTTGCACAAGTCTTTTATCAGCCTCCTTGGGGCAAGCATGTTGATTCTGTAGCTTTTTTGTTGTTGTTGTTCCTGACAAATGAGGGAAAATAGACAGTATATAAAATCTGCACAATCTGAATGAGCAGTAAGCTGCACTTGACATTACACTACTTTGACATTCTATGGGATTTGTAAACCTTAATATAAATATATGGCATTATTGAAAATACTAAAAAAAATTTTAAGAACAAAAGGACATATCACTATCAACTCTCACATCTGAAGTTATCAATAATCTAAGCATAGTACTAAGAATCCTTTATTCAGCTAGGGCAGGACCTGGGGGAAATAAATGGACTGAAATGGACAGTGTAAAGGAAACTCTTCTTTCAAGCACTGCATTCTGCAAAAAAAAGTTCACCTACCATAACAGAAGCATATTTCAGAAAGAGCAGGGATATTACTTGGACTGGGCTTTCTGATAGTTATGAAGAGAAATAAAGACTAGAACGGTTTTTGCAATAAAAATGCTAGACATCCACTGTATCCTTGGAACAACTAAATAATCAAAACCTAAAGTGAGTTATGAGCTTGAATTTTAAGTGTTGAAGGAAAACAAGCAATTCTCAGCAATTTAAAAATAATGATATCCTATCACACACTATAAAAGCTGAAAATATGCATATGAAAAAAATAAACATTGATATGAGATTAGAACACTCACCAAGTCATTTGATAGCTTTCTTTTTATGTATATTCCAGTAACTTTTCTGTTGTAAGTAAATAGGTATTTTCAGAAACTTACAGAATTGCACATTGCACTTAAAAATACACACAAAAATTGGAAAGGGAGTATGCTCACAGTAAGCAGTTTGACTCACGTATGCAAGCACTGTTTCTGATATTTATGTAACACACACACTACATGTTCTGCTACTTATAACTCTAGCAGGCAGCCTGTACGCTATGTCCTCAAAATCTAGAGCTATTAAAAAGCAAATATGCAGCCTTATCCAGCTGAACGTTATAACTGTGCTAGGCACCCTCATGCTTCTCATGTACGTATAAACAAAGGCATTAGAGAGGTGCAGCTTCTGCACCACGCTTCATCACGACTGTCAGTTGAAATGAGCTGAGTGCATCGATCAATATGGATGTGGAAGACCCCGAAGAACACAGTACCTGCTGTCTATCCAACCGCATCCTTTTTGCAGCATTTCTGCTTTCACTCTCACAGGCGGAAGCCAGGATACTCTCTGCAACTGCTGAAGTAAGGTGTGAGGGAATAGGTCGTGACTATGAGAGAAAAAAAGAAACACAGAAATTATTTCTAGCCTGATCCACGACATCCTCATTAAAGCTCACAGTGCTGTCACCTAGGCAGGAAGATCGTTCATTGAAATGTAGTTTATACCAACAAAACAGGGAAATGGAACTCGCAAAGATGAAAAATGAAACTAGTTAGATGCTAAAGCTGCAGCTGATTGGCATACCCATGAGAAGCCCTTTCCCCCCACAGCTCTATTGTCCGGTGCGCTCAGTCTGCCTCATTACGCTGTACTTTGCACAGACAGTGGCATATTCTCTGTGTTCCAGCAGCACTCCGGCCGTCTGATTGTTGGTAAGAAAGCCAAACGGCTTTTATCCTGTACAGCATGTGACGGAGACGAGTAGTGGCTTTTTATAGTCATAAAACCCAAAACAAAACAAAAAACCCGGAGTGACTGGGGCTAAGGCATCACTCAGAACAGATTGTCAGAACATTTTGGAGCAGTCTCAATCTGTAGTATGTGAATATTTGCATTCCTTACTGCAACATGACTGATGTGATTAAAATGACTTCTAAAAAAATCTGTTTTCCTCTCGATATTGTCATCCTTCTAACTATGTAGATATTTTGTGGTTTAACTAGATATAGTTCATAATCCACAAACAAAACCCCTTGTTACTAATTTCATAGAATTTACATACTTTAGGTAAAAGGTGCAATGAATCACAAAAAAAAAAAAAACCAAAACCCTAAACACAAAAGAATGCTAAAATCTGTTTTAGCTCAGTCATGAATTCCAGTATGATCTTCCCTACCCCTTTGTCAATAAGACTGCTTACATGTATTTTTCCTAATTACATCCACAGCAACTAAGAGATGAGGCTAACAATAAAACTAGTTATATGTTTGTTAGTATATAAAGATATAGTTGAACTATAAAGAAATGAAGAAAATTAGGACAACATCCCAGACACTGTTATATACAAGTGCAACTATGAAAGTAATGCCTTCTATTTTATTATATTTGCCCACAGTGTCAGAAGCAGAGGTTGGTGTTATTGCAGTAGAGGCTAAACCTCTCCACCAGTATTCCGTTACATGTTGTTGCTGTGTGGCAGGTGGCAGCAAAGAGGCAGTCTGACACAATGGTGTCTGACATGGAAGAGCGTATGAAGCCCAGGTGTGTCACTGAATTCCTCCATGTGGGAAAAATTGTACACATTGACTGTCATCAACACAGAATGTTTATGGAGACCAAATAGTGGATGTGAGCACAGTGAGGGGTGGGTGGTGTGTTTCAGCAGTGGTGGCAGTGATGTAAAGGACAAGCCACAGACCAGGTGACCATGCAGAGCTGTCACACTGCGAAACAAAGAGTGTCTTGATCAGCTCATTCACACAAATTAGCTAATGATGGTGGCTGTGGTAAGAAATAGTTTTTTGTTCTTGATTTGTCAAATGCTGTTACTGTGCTCTTTGTATCTGTTGTTGTTTCTATGGAAATAAATAGGAGGCATTACTTTTGGAGTGACCTATGTACATAAACATAAGTGCATTCCAGACATTACAGTTTACTGGACCTTATTCTGAACTTCTGTAAATTTTCAAAGCTTCACTGAACTCAAGTGAACTGTGTGAATTTATAGCTACTGGGAAATCAGCCATATGTGGTTTGGGGGATTTTTTTTGTTTCTTAGTTGTTTTGTTTTTTATTGGGCTGGGCTGCATGCGTGGTTTTTCTTGGGTGGTTCTTGTGGTTTGATTGGGTTTTTCTTTTCTTATTAAAAAAAAGCATGAACCTACTGTGAAATGTCACTGAGTTTTAGAAGCAGATTTTGAAGTACACTGTTCAGTTTTTATATAACCTCCGTGATTCTGAGATCATATTGACACAACAGATTTTATGGTTTTCACACTATTCCAGAAACTGTGAGGAGACCACGACTACATTTTTACCTTTAAAAATTTAAATCAATTTATTGACTTTGAATGTGCTCTGCAGAATGTCATTTTATCATCTCATTCTCTACGTTCTCCAATGCACAGAACCGCAGTCAGTTGGGGACCAGTGGCTGAACTAGCTTTTAAAAATAGAGAAGGATTTGTGGGCCTCCATCTCTAGTGCTCTTGACTTAATTCTCCACATTCATACAAGAGGAAACTCTCTAGCACCTGATATGGCTGTGCCAGAAAGATAATTAGAGGCAGCAATACTACAATAAAATATATGATTTGGGTTTACTCAATGAAACAAACCTACTGAATTTGGTTGCAGTTTGAACAGCAATGCATTCCCATGCATTGAAAATAAATCATTCTAAGAGATGAGGGACAGTACTGCTAAAACCTGGTGTCATTACAAGGTTAGCATCACAGCAAATACAGCCATCTTCCTCAGAGCTTCAGAGGAGGGAGTAAGCCTTCGAATGAGGTTTTCATTGACAAAGCATAAATATTTTTCTTCCTTAGAACTGTGCTGATCTCATGGTGATCTAAATATCACATCATTTAACCACACTAAATCCCTCTCTGTATTTGGTGGCCAAGTGTCCTCTACATGCCACTTTTCTGCATATGTTGAAGATGCATGGAAGTCTCAGTGTGCTCCTCCAGTAGTAGGTTCCTGAAAAATGCTATGTAAACATCTGGCTCATTCCTCCATCTATTCTTAAAGCTCAGAGCTATAAAGCTACATAAACATCAACAGATATTCAGAAGGTGATGTAAGAACTAAAAAAAGTAACATTCTGTCCAAAAAGCCAAGTGAATTCATGTTCCCCAGATTATTTATGGGAGAGAATAGGTTTATTAGAATGTTAAAAATAATGAATCACCATTATAATCAAGCAGTCACCTGTTTTTCCTCTAAAAATGATTGTAGCAGGTATATTCACCACTGAAACACTGCTCAAAAGTTAATAGCTGGGAAAATGAGGAAGTCTCCAGGGTAATTGAGTATCTTCCTCTTGAAACATCTATTAACCCACAATTTCTCACACATCACCACAGCCAGTTGTTGATATGCTCATGCCAAGAACTATCTAGAATAAACCTTCAGGAGAACATGAATGCACGGTTGAGTCACTCGAGCAGTAAAATACTGTAACAAAGCACAGCAGAAAAACGGTCTGATTAAGGTTTGGGCTCCATCAACTCAACTTAGTCAGAGTCCTGGTCTGGCATTGATTGAGAAGGTGACTGTCACTAACAGAAGAACTGTTAAAAAGATTTGCTGTTCCATGAAATGCCATACCTGTGAAATGTCAAAAAGATCAATTTCAAAAAGCCTTGCCTAAGAGGAAAAAAACACTTTGAAATAATCTTTCTTCTTACACATATTTTTTCTGATTTCTAAATAAACTGAAGTCATTGCAGCATCTCCTAAGCTCAGAGGCCCCTTCTGCCTTAGTTTAACTTCCTCTTCAATACTTCTGATTATTTTTTATCCCTGTCATGATTACCGCTACAAAATCCTTTCAGTAAGATGCTCAAACATCCCAATCTCTGTGGGTCTGCCCATTTCCAACATCCCTGTCTGAGAGTGAGACACAAAGACATAGGGAAACGTGACAAAACCAATGTAATTCCATTCTGCAAAAGAAAGCTGACAGCTCTCAGACAAGCCAGCCTTTTTTTTAGGCTGTCAGGTTCCCCTCAGCATGGCTCAGTGCTGTTTCACACAATTCTTTTGTTTCTATATGGAATCTAACAAACTGCTATGTTTCAAATGTACATTCCTGGTATAAATCTACCAATTACAGATATAACAGAGGGACTATTTCAGTCTAAACCACTAGGAGCAGTATGTTCACCTGAAAGAATTTTTGATCAGCTGTTTGTTGCCTATAGTTGGAGAACTTTTGGCTCTGAAGTTACTACCTATATATTTGCTGTTAGGTCCAGTAATTTCTTACAAGCAAAAGGAAGTTGGTCTAGTTACTCTTGCACATATTACACCGGCCTGACTCAGTTCTGAAAAAAATCAGCTACCAATTCTGTCAGATAACAGGCACATGCATACCTGCTAATGTGCCAGACTTCACAAATTAACATTTCTGCATAAATATTTCCCTGCACTTTAGGTCAGTCAACAACAAAAAGGAGAATCCTGTGGTATAAGACAGTTGCAATCTCATTAATATACAGTTACGTTCTTCCGTTTACAGATACTCTAGCATCTAATATAAATGTGTGAATGAGAACACATTTAAACTACTACTCAAAAACAAAAACATTTTCCAAAGCAATTGGGCATCCACAGGTAAAGGTGAATCCCTAGGATACCTCACTAGCAGTAATTGATTTTTTCCATAGGTACCATCAAGCATTTTGAGGTCCTAACACCATGAGTCTCCCTACTGCTCTCCTGCATGTCAGCTGTTTGTGTACGCATTATGTTCATTGCCAGAATCAAATATTATGCCACAAACCTTTCATAATAACATATTATAATCTAACACATTCTATTAGAATCTCTAATATATATAATAGAAATAAGCAATCTCTAATTAGCAGTTTTTCATAGAAAACATCCAAAATATGCAGGGCGTGCATTATCTTCAAAAGGGTTTTTTTAGTCAGTATAATGTAGTTAACTGTATGGCACAGAGCTATCCTGCACTGCACAGTTAAAAGGATTCTGAATCCTTTCCTTACAGTATTTTTAAATTCATATAGTAAAGTACAGTACTGCAGCCTTTTGAATGTACTTATATATTTATTTTGGGCAAAACAGTGAAATGTGAACAACTGAACTGGCATTTTAACGATTGCAGCAACTGTTTCAGACTGGGTTTTGATGTATTTTACTCAGTCTTTCAGATTGCAGTGAAGTTGTGATAAATATTCAATTTTAACACCTACTAAGAAATTCCAAAAAACAACTAGAAATATTTTTCTAAAACATTCAGTGATGTTCGCACTGCTTTTTAAAGTTTTCAGCTTTAGAGTACCTTAATTGAAATATTGACTATTGCACAATTCATTATGACAGCACTTAACTATATCCATTTACCCAAACATATCC